GTATGGGTAGCCCTATCCGGTATAGCCCCGCGAACACTATCCCCTCCCCGGCCGGTTGTTAGCCTCCCCACAGAAGGTGGGGAGTTTCCAGGGTGCACCACGAGGAGGTCACCGGCCACCGCACCCCCACCTAACCTAACCTAACCTAACCTAACCTAACCTACCTACCTACCTACCTACCTACGGGTGTCGGTGTACTTTGTTACGCCGACGACACCCTGGTCACCGCGTCGGGCCAACTTTCCAGGACGCTGCACTTGATACATAAGTCCGAGGCCATTTTCCTTCATGTGCCTCGGACTAAGCCCCCTCGCGGTTATTCCATCGTCGTGAGGGACACCCCCATTGCTGTCGGGGGAACAATGAAGTATCTTGGTCTCATCCTTGACAGCAAGTGGGGGGGTTCGGCGAGCATTGCCGAATACTGGCAACAAAGCTGGTGCAGTATGCGGGAATACTCGCCAGGCTGCTCCCTAACTGGGGGGGAGGGGGAGGGGGTGTTCCGCCGCCTGTACGATGTTGTGGTAGGCTCTAAGGCGCTTTACGGAGCGCCCATATGGGCGACGAGGCTCCTGAGCAAGGAGAACATGGTTCTGCTGCTGTGACGTGCGCAGCGGACCATGGCTCAGAGGACCTCCAGAGCGTACCGCACCGTATTGTACGAGGCGGTGTGCCTTATCTCCGGAAGCCTCCCCTGGGACCTCGAACCCGGGATGCTAGCGGAGGTTTACCGTAGAAGAGCCCTGATGCGGCAGAGAGGCGAGGAGTCCCTCCCGGAAGAGATTGTACGCTGGAGGAAGGAAGGTCGCGACGATCTCTTCCGGTTATGGATGGAGAGGTTGGCGGGCGCCTCAGCGAGGCCGCCTGCTCACCGAGGTGTCCGCTCCGTCCTGCGCCAATGGAGTGACGCCTGGGAGGCGAGGCACCGGGAGCCGACTTACTTCCTGAGACAGCTTCTCACAGGGCACGGCTGTTTCGGCCGCTACCTGTGTGAGGTTGTGGGAATTGAGTCGGGCCCCGGGTGCCGACGTGGACACGGCTGAGCATACGCTAGCTCAACGCGCCACGCTCACTGGCGCTATCGGACGGGATCTGTCGCTGCCGGCCGTCATACTTTCGATGGTCGGCAGCGAACAGAGTTGGGCCGCCGTCGCCTCCTTTGCACTTGAGGTGATGGCGGCCAAAAGAGAGGCCCTGCGGGAGCGCGCACGCGCCAACGAGACGCTGCCGCTCCGCAGGGCTCCAGCGAGGAGCCGCCGGCGTGCGAGATTTGCCGCGGCCCTACAGACAAATTAAGTAGAGAGAGGGCCACGCGCGACGGGTCGGGGGACCTGTCGCGCGGATGGCCCCCCTCGCGTTTCTGAGGGGGGCATCATTATAGGGTGATGGGAGGGGTCTAACATATGATCCCTCCCTACACGAGTCGAGCCCCTGCCAAGGGGCTCCCCCCCCCCCCCTTTTTTTTTTCCAGATGGGAATGCTTTATACATACTCCGCGCCCCGGGGGGGACGCGGTAGTTATGTGGGATTCTCCTCCATAGCGGAGGCATACCCACTAAACCCCTCTGTTCCTCCAACGCATCGGGACGGGACCACGGGCACGCTTTCGCTCTCGTCCGCGGCCCCGTCTGCGCCAGCTGCCTAGGCAGCTCCCTCTCAGGGGGGAGGCAGCCCTCAGTCGCTGGTGATGGTCTCTCTCGTGTCCATCACCAGAGGGCTATTGTGGGGGGGGGGGCGGCAATATACTGCCGCCCTCTCCGCCCCATTCTCCTACGTCTGAGCGGGGGCGCCAGGGGATCTCCCTTGCGCTCCCGCTCTTTTGCCATTCATTATTTCTCCCCAGTTTACCGCCACAAATCCAACGCCTCTCTCCCTGAGGGAGAGGGAGAGGCGCTGAGGGCCCGTGGGTGCCACCCCAGAGGAATTCAGCATGCAGGTGTCTGGGTGTTAAGACACCTGCATGCCCTCCTCGTCCTCCGTCGGCGGCACCCGTGCTGTCGGCGGCGGCGGCTTAGGGGGAGTGTTCCCCTTCACTTTGGGAGGAGCGCATTTTGCCCCTCCCATTATGTGTTTATGTGGGCACCCTGCCTTGGCGCACACCGCGCAATTGACAGGGGCCTCACACGTGGCCGCCTTGTGTCCCTCTTGGCCGCAACGGAAGCAGAGACGACCATTCTCTGCCTCCGTTGGGCATAGGGCGCGGGTGTGGCCCAACATCATGTATCTGTAACAACGCATCGGCCGGGCCTCCACCGCGGAAATGGTGGCCATGCTCCACCCTATGGCCACCTTCCCTATTTGTACGGCAGCCTTTGCAGCCGCCGCCGGGCACCGCACAATGGTCGCGCCTCCTCCCCAGTAACTTTTTCTAATGCGGACAACTTTGACAGCGCTGGGAGGGCAGTTCCCAGTCGCTGCTACATTGGCCGCAACTTCCTCGCACGTCACCGTCTCGTCCAAGCCTGAAACCCTCAGGTCCACAAGCTTGGACGGACGGGTGACGTCTGCCCAAGCGCCGATCACTTTGAGAAGTTCAGCAGCGAGGCGGTCGGCAGTCTCCTCAGGGGCAGCCCCCCCTACCTCCATCAGTTTGGAGCCGGTCATGCTCGTGCGTACCTTGACCGACTCCAGGCCGAAGTCTCTGAGGCGGATCGAGGTTCTAGCCTTGGTCAGAACCTCGGCATAGGTGGCCTCAGAGACCTGGCCCTCCGCTGACGTGGTCGTGGCCCCCTTCTTTAGTGTGACCGTTATTGCCGCTGTTTTGGGGGCCACGATTTTAACAGCTTTAGGAGGGGGGAGCGGGAGTTCCACACGAAACCGTCCCTGCTGCCCCCGCGGCACGGACGGCAAAGTGCACAAACGCATTCCCGCGTTAACAAAAAAAAAAAAAAAAAGACGACATTTGTCCAAGACATAGGGTGTTTGGGCTATTTGAATTTTTGTTTAAGACGAAATCGTTAGTCGTTAGTTATCGACTGCCCCAAGCACCTGGCATAACCACCATCTTTGATAATGGGCAGCGACGCCCGTAGTATACATACAGAATTTACTATAAAATTATAATACCATTACAATTTAAGATAAGAAGATATACAATGTTGCTCACAAATGTATGAAAAAAAAAAAAAACATTAATTAGTATTTATTTGTTTTTCTCAAGGTTTGTACCTTCCCGTTATAAGGGTAGTTATTTAATGAAACAAAAATACATAATTTAAAATAAAATAATAGCTTTACAAAAAAAAAAAATCTTGAACGTCGTTGATTTCATAAGTATATTATAGACGGACCACGTCCGTCGGTGGTAGGGGACACAGTCACTAAAGACTTGTGTAATATCTTTTATACGGAGGTGTTATCGTTTGTTCAGTTAGAAAATTAAAACTTATTTATTAGGCTGTTCATATTTATTTATATCACAATAAATATGACGACATTCAATGTCTTCAAAATTGTTACCGTCAAGGGCGTGAATAATGGATGAAAGTTTGTATTAGTAGGATATATGAGGTTTATGTGTATGATTTGTTGTAATGTTTTATCAGTTTAATTGCTACCCAAAAACAAGAATAAGTCAATATTTCACGCGAACAAAGAATCATTTTATCGGCCTCAGCACCGCACTCGCAGACCGGTGTTTTAGCAATGGATACAGAAACGGTATAGCATTTTGCAAGACACTATCTTATTCTGAGAGACAATGCAATATCACGTCATTGAAATCTTTTTCGATGTCTATTGTAACAAGCGACAGTCCTCGTCATTGCTCCACAACTAAAACTACAACAGTAATTCGCGAGCATGCTTCATTTGAGAAAGTTCGTTTGGCGCCCCGCGCGCTCAACCGCGCGGGGCAAGGCCCCGAGCCCCGAGACGCGATCGCCAGCCGCAGTCAACAGTCGCGAGTGAGAGAGCCAACGGCCGACATCCCTCGCGTCACGCGTAGAGCCCGCGCCGACCGCGCTGCCGCCTCATTCTATGTATAATACGTTTCAAGTAAATACGCCCCACCAACTACTAACTCTGTAGTTAGCGCCGCGCATACGTCGACTGGACGGTTGTTTATGTTGTTCAAAAAAAATTCAATTCAGAATCACGACGCTCCTTGCGTTGAACTTCCTGCTGAAAGTTTATGTTTAGTGGCTGTTATTGGCCGGCTATTGTCCGTCCGCGTGACTCACGGCACGGCATACTACATTTGGAGGCTATTGGCTAGCAGTTAAACATGAAGGTAAGCCGACACTCTCATGTTTTCCCTTGTCCTCATTTTGAAAACAAGCTTTTGTCAGCGACTTCGTCTACGCAGAAATGAAAAAAAAAAAGGTGAAATGTATATCAAGTTGTACTCGAGACTATGTTCTATATCTCTCTGTGCTTAATTTGATTAAGATGTGTTAAACTTTTGCGAACTTATCGAGTAAACATGTGAATTAGACGTGTCCCACGGGAACCGTACACATTGCCGGAACATTGTTAGCTTATATATTATATTTTCCCAGACTGTGTTCTATATCTACACCAAATTTTATAGAGATCTTTTCAGCCGTTATGGAAATACATAGTAACAAACATTTATCTGTACAGCCAAACTTTCGCATTTACAATATTAATAAGATAGTAAGATAGAGTCGATCGCCCTCCGAATTATGTGCGGCGGCACGGCGGCATCAGCGTCGCAGAACTGACGCGACATGACACTTAATAATTTATCATAATTAAAAATCTTATTCCGCATTACTACTACAATTTTACACTTTTTACCATGACTTTATAATTTAGTTCCATACTTATTTAAACCCAAGATCATCAAAATATTATACTACGAAGGTACCTATTATTTTGCTTTTATGCTGGTGATGGAAGATTTTAATAAGGCGGATTTTGTTGCAGACAAATGTAATTTAAGGAGCAAAAGCAAATCGTTAGCGTGGCATCAGCAATGGGCATGTAGTGCAGGTCAGGTTAGAGAAAGTCTGCTTGTATTGTATGAAAGATAATATTGATATGTTGTAAATAAAAAGTAATAAATCATATGTTATGTGGGATTTAGAATTTTTTTAATAAAAGTAATATTTCCCGTATATCTTCGGAACGTTGGAAAGTCGTCTTCTTCTTCTTTTAGTTATTAGTGGACCCGAAAGTCTAATTTTGTAGATATTTGAGTGACGTAAATGTCATTTTGACATATTGACATTGGATTGTCATCAAAGTGTCAATTTAGGGTTGACTAAGCTTTATAAAATAAGCCCATATTTGTCTAAAATAATAATGTATTGTTCTAATTATTTTGACTTCATTTTAGATTAAGTATATTTCACGTTATTTCAAACAATAGTAGCGTTCGCGTTTCTTCCACTGTCTCTATGTACGGGTGTGGAATGTAGATTTTGTCGTCTCCTATTTCTGTTTTCCACTTTATGATTGACTTTTATTGTAAAATAAGATTCAAACTATAAAATAAGAAACAGCGTCATAGGGTAAAGTCTAAGAATCTAAAAGTTCGATTGAACGTTGAAACAATGAGGAAAGATTGAAATGGGTAATTTTTGTTGGGAAACTTTGATGTAATATGTCATCAACAGGCTATTAAAAAAAAAAGCTTTATATAGTTTAAACCAGATTTCGCATTTGCTAAACATTTTAGTTTAATTATGGTTATCGAACTTTATTTAGGCTCCGGAAAAAATATGTATTAAATATCGTGAGAACGACGACTAGGAAATGTATTCCGGCCGCGTGTGCGCAAGGACGACACGCCCGCCCCCTGCCTCTTCCGCCGCCTCGCGAACTCTGCTGTGCATTAGCTGAATCCAAACAAAGCGAAGATTTATACTAGAAAATAACATGTCTGTTCCACCCGCGATTCACTGCTCAGAATTGCAACTTGTGAACTCATAAGGCCGTAAACTTAGCCTATATAAAAAAAAATAAAAAAAAACGTAACAAAACGTATATTATGATAAAATACATCAGTACAGCAGTCCATTTGAACATGCACAAAGTTTTTAGTTGGAGATATGTACCTTCGTCAAATTGAATGAATGTAATCGAGTCTCAGTAACATTTAAATGAGTCAGCTGTTGTGTTCTCACGAATACAAAATGACGTTATTACCTAAATGGTGTAAAATGAGTTTAAAATTAGAGAAATCATTAACGAAGTCAATCAGCAAACTTCTACTACTATACTACTACTAACTACTATATGTTGTAAAAATAGATAACGTAACTAAATAAGCAAGTGGTCGCCATTTCCTATTACCATCAGTGACTCGACTTTAGCTCCCCCCACCCAACCCCCGCCCCTCACTTACAATTTTGTATAATTTCCTTTTGTTTTCGGTTTTGATAGCAGCCAATAAAAATTAATATGAAAAGGAAAGTAATGGTCGGAATTGACACGCGCTAGTTAGAAAGTTGCGCCGTTCCGCGAATAAATAAAATTGGAATCCACGCGCTCACTCAGCCGCTGACACAAGGTAAAATGCAGGATATATATAACATAGCAAAATTGCTATGAGTATATATAATATTTCTTCATCCAAACTGTCTCCCAATTTCCCTTTATTTTAGAACGACTGACTCTAAATCGACATTGTCAGCGCCAAGGAGCGAGTTTCGTCGACGGCGATAAGAGAAACAGAAACTGAATGTTATCATCGTCGGTGGTCTGCGTTCATTTGTGACTATGATAGAGCCGCTCCCACGGTGAGGACGATACCTCGTCGTGTTATCTAACGGCGACCACTTTCTCTGGCCTTGCGGTGTTCAAACGTCGCGGTGCAACAACACATCGGTACAAAGTATAGCTTCAGTGTTTTCACTGTAACTTACTCCTGCCTCCATGTGATTGTGTGGGTACAAGTACTGCGAGTTCTATTCCCCGTGTGTGTTTAATATCTAGTGCTCCTCCCCCTGTCGCCGTCTCTTTCCCGCGTCACCGAGACACTCGTTACATAGCCACAACTATATTATTCGTGAAAATATCTCCAACGAGTCAATTTCACAGTTGTAAAAAAAAAAAGGACGAAACTCGATTTGTCATAATTAATACTCATAAGTCATTTAAATTGTGAAAATAGTTTTATTTAGGTTGAGTGAATACTGAGTTTCCATTGGCGTGAAATGGAGTTGCGATACAAATAGTGGCACGACATGCGCTTTCTCCTCGGTCACACCACAAACCTGTTTATAAAAACAACAAAGTTACCTACTAATAACATAATAACATAAATAATACGTACAAACAGGAAACAGTCCCGACCGAGACGCGGAAAGCGCACCAATGTTATATTGTTATACATAAATGATTACATTATATAGATATTAGGAATTAGGAAATAGTATCAAAGTTAGTAATGAATTAGTTAGTAATGTCTATTGTATGAGTAGATAGGGGCAATTTCATGTTGTACACTTTCCGATGTCATCATTAAAGTTTAATTGTACCGGCCCCCGACACCTGCAGACACCATTCGGCGCTGCTCGCGACCTCGCAACCCTCACTCCAGCCTCCAGTCTCGCGGGGCCTTCGCTCACTTCCCTCTGTGCCTTACACATATTGTATGAACGTACACAGGTTGCGGTCATAAAACTTCATTTACTAATTGGCGACTCCTTCATGTAGCTGGCAATGCACTTTGAACGCCGCCAATGGTAACCATTCGTTTGAAATAAGTTTTTATAACATCAAGTTGTGACACGCATTAAGAATTATATTTATCATTTTGTGAGCGAGCGACATCCGGTATCATAAAGTCAAAAACTCGCCGCTGACCATAAAACTCGATCAAGTAAATATCAAGATGACCGGTTTCTTGAATATAAAGATGGACTAATTACTAAAATGGAAATTATTTGCGACAAATGGATCAAGTTGTATGACGACGATGTTGTAGGCGACGATGTGGTGAGGGGGGCTTCCTTCTAAATCTTAGTAATGTTAAAAATGCGAAGATTTTGATGGATCTCGATAAAATGTTGTCTTGTTGTTGTTGATGGCGCGGACGGAGTGGGGTGTGGGGGGGTGGGGGGAGGGGGGGGGACAGCTTGTGATAGGAATATTTTGATAGTTTGAGTCGGATTTTGTGTATAACTTCCTTGTTGTTGTGATATTTCATATAATTTTATTCTTGATTCAATAATAAATGACTAATTATGTATTAACTTGTGTTGTTGTGTTGTTCCTACTTACATATAACGTATTATAATAGAATTCCGGAATGTCTGTTTCAAGTCAAATTAATGCGAATACATCAATATCTACAATACATTATAAATTTAAACTATTTTAGGCATTTATTATCTTTAAACCAACAATGTAGTATATTTTTTAAAAAAGAAAGAGAGTAAGGTGGTGTTTTAGTTTTAACAAGCTGTCACAAAATCGATCACATTATGTTTTGGCTATATGTTTCATGAATTGTTTA